AAGACCTGGGACTACGAGCTTATCGTAAAAAGACAGGACATTTTTTGAACGAGCGTTTAAAAAAAATTAGGCTAGACAGATCCCGCGCTTTGCTACGACGGTACGCGGGAAAAAAATACCGCGAAATTCTTTTTTCGGATGAAAAAATTTTTACTATTGAAGAAAGTTTTAACAAACAAAATGATAAGGTGTATGCCCACAGCAGTGAAGAAGCAAGCGCGCGTATTGCGAGGGTCCAGCGTGGGCATTACCCTTCCTCATTCATGGTTTGGCTTGGAGTCTCATATTCAGGCGTAACTGAGGTGTTTTTCTGTGAAAAAGGTGTGAGAACTAGTGCCGAAGTTTATCAAAATACTGTCCTAACAAACATAGTGGAACCTCTTTCTCAGACAATGTTCAGGAACAGGCATTGGATATTCCAACAGGACTCTGCACCGGCTCATAAGGCACGAAGTACGCAAGACTGGTTGATCGCTCGTGGAATTGACTTCATCCGGCATGAAGACTGGCCCTCTTCTAGTCCAGATTTAAACCCACTGGACTACAAGATATGGCAATATTTGGAGGAAAAAGTCTGTGCTAAACCTCACCCGAATTTGGAGTCTCTCCGAGCATCTCTGGTTAAAGCAGCGGCAGACATAGATATGAATGTGGTGCGTGCAGCGATCGATGACTGGCCGCGTAGATTAAGGGCATGTGTTCAAAATGGGGGAGGGCATTTCGAATAATGTAAATAAAATTATATTGTACATTTAATGACCTTTCATTTCATATATAATTTTTAAATAATTGTCAAAAGGCGTATAAGTTATTACATCAAAAGTTTGTGACAGAACTTATGACCCGACTAAGTATATCTTAACAATATAAAGGTAGTCCTTTAGTCTTACGGCACTCATGGGAAGAGCAGGCGAGGTGACTAGGTGTATTATTCAGTTGCAAACGACTTTCATTGACATAATAAAAAAAATCCATACACATAGTAGCTAATGTTTCATATTGGATAAGACAGAGACAATGGAACGCAATATAAGCACAATTGTGATATACCCTTTTGTTCGATATAAACTAATTACTATCGATACATGCTTAAGTAAACAGTATTACATAATTGTTTTAAGTATTCGTATTGATTTTCTTTAAGAAATCTGTACAAATATTTTCAAGATTATCTATAAACAATGATACAAACGATTACATCAAGAATATTACATAAACGCACGTTTCCGTCCGTCCGTCTGTCACGGACAAACGCGAGTTGACTGTAACATACTAACATCGCTACTTGTATAATTCATGAGCCGCCATCTTTGGGCAAGCGTGTGCGCCGGGCTTTTAGCAAAATAGACGTATGTTTTGTTATTTTATTTACAACCGTGTAGAGAAAAATGGGTTCACTTCTTTCCGAGCATCAATTGAATTAGGAGTGGAATTTCCAAGACTTACTGCGGATATTTCTAAGGTAGACAAAGGTAAACGATTGTTAGGACAGCCTCCAGATAGATGGAGCTTATAAAACTGTCAACTGACGAAAAAATGAAGTTGATGATGACGATGATAATGATAAAAGTTTAAATGGTCAAACAAATGTTAGCGCAAGACTTTATGGCATTGGTAAAAGCAAAACTACAACAACTACAATTTTAAAACCACAAAAACATATCATCCCACATTTATTTACAAATGAAAACGCAGTAGCCGTTGGCGTACAAAGCAAAATCGTGACCACACAATATAGTACGGATGAGAGTCCGGTATCAATTGACATAATGGCTGGACGATTGTAGTTCACAACAGTTCAGCTTACACAGTCACTCGTCAATGTTAGAAAAGATAAACCGGTTGGACATTATCGACGGAACGGCAACAAAAAGGTTAGAGCAAAAAAAAATTACATAACAGGAGAGATTTTTGTCCCTGAGAAAAATTTTAATCAAAATATTTGGATTAAGAAAATTTTTGGCATCGGTCGTATGGAGGTTTTTATGTATTAAGATGAAGATTTATATCAAGGACAGTAAAATCAAAATGATTTATTTCAACTAAACCATAGGTACTTTGTAATATTAAAGTCTTTCAATAAATTTGCTCGTAATAATGTAATTTCTTAAAGTATACAAAGCCGACAGTTGGCTAGGCTAGTTAGCTAAAAGTAATTGTATCGATTTACAATCAAAATACTAAAGCGCTACAGCCCGAACGTATTTACAAATAAGTATGCGATCGAAGGACCAAAATGTGTCTCGAAGGACCACTTACTTAGATGTACCAATGACTCTATTGGTCCCAAGGGGAATTTTAGAATATAATGATATTAAAACGCTTAATAGGATTCAGAAATGTATGATGAGAGACAAGACCATGGAAACATTATAGTTTATATAGAATGCTTCATATTTGAGCCTTATCCGACCGGTTCCGAAAGCAACTAATCTAATTGGCAATTCAATGACTACAGAAATCGTATAGGCTTTAATCCAAATGGATTTAAACGTTGTATAATGCAATCGTGTCCATCAGTATATGTATCTGCGTACGTAATGTGTATCGTTTCTCTCAATACCATCACGTTTCGCATAGAATGACAAGTGGGTAGTACATGCTGCTTTTACACGATTAGGACATACTCAGTATTCTGTTCTAGGGTTAATATTATTCGATTTCTTCTTACAAGTAGAAATTGGTTAAATGGATTATAAGAAGACTCGTGATACGACTTGGAATTGTTCCTGTTGATATAAGAGAGAAAAGTTAGTGAAACATGGTCTGTGCTTTATAGTTTACGCGAATTACCTAGGATTATGAATGACCTATTTAAGGTATGGTTGATTTTGTTTCTTTATAGGGAATTTTATTTGCGCTACTCGAGCTAAATTTTGTTCTGCATCATGTATTGTTACTTCATGCTTTCAATCTCAAAATGTTTGTTATTGTTCAAATGTGAAAAAAAAACGATCGAAATAAATTCAGTATCGTAACTAGGTACAGTTAAGAAAAGGATCAGAGAAATAAGATTTAATATGAAACGTATGTTTTATGTATAACAAGCGACCGGACCATACAATGATAATTAAATCAGCACATTACCTCGATTAACAATTTAAACTCAGGACTTTAGTTAGAAAGGCGTTTTCATCTAGATTTGTATGAGATTGGCGAGTGCTTGCATGTTATGCTAATTTTAGATAGTTAGTATAGGTTTTAGACTGGTGTAAATAATTGTACGGAAATAAATACGTTTTTTTCTGACCGAACAAATAAGACTCATCATGCGAACCTTTACTGGATGCTTGGCTTGGTTTCAGGTTGGCTGGCAATAGTTGGATGTAAACAGCTGAACATCGAGCTCAGTGGCGTGCAATTTGGGACAGCTATGTCCAAAAGTGGACAGAATCAGGCTGATGATAATGAAAACAGATCCTACGAGACTAAGTGTTGCAGAAGGGTGGACCTGATAAACCCATTATAATGATGAAAGGTGGAGTACTGTGAGTCACACAGTAAAAACCCTCACGCTTGAACTCTTACTTAATTGAAAAAAAAAATGTATTTAAATAAGTGAAGCAAAAATAGACAACTGGAAAAGACAGTTACGGCAATGGCAAAGGACGTTATTATAAGGAAAAACTTCGAGCCAAAAAAAACGTTATACTTTCTTTAGTAAGTTACGAAAGAGAAATATCGGGGCTGTGAATAATTAACTACATTGCTTCCACGGGGACTCAGTTATAACTGACTTATTTAGAGTTCTTTATTAAGAAACTTCCTGATATAATATTCTATTTCTTATTTTGATGTTGTGATAAAAGCAAGTTTCCGTATATGTAAGAAAATAGTTTTCAGCAGTTTCATCATGTCGACTCCCCGATGTAACTAATGTGACTTATATGGAATTTAAAGAGCATATAACATCGGGTTTCGATGAGACCGGCAATGTACTTGTAGTAGCTCCTTTGGTATTACGAGTGGTCATGGGCGGCGCCGATTGCTTGCCCTCAGGTAAACCGTCTTCTCGTTTGCCAACCAAAGACATAAAAAAGAGGGATATTTAGGCAGACAAAAAGTATCAACAAAATATTACAAGAGGTAACAAAGTCAACTAGTTGGGCTAAAGCCAGAAAATAAAAGACCACGTTAAAATTATTTATCGATAAGCAATAAAATGTTGCCTTAAAAACAGTGGTCTAAAAATAAAGATAGATAAATTGTACTATTGGGACTAATATAAAACTTTAATCTATTTGGAATCAGTCCAAAACTTTAACTGTAATGGGAGTTCGTAACCTATGGCCTTGCATTAAAAGGGAGTGTAATTTGTCGCCAAGCTTGATCCATATTTGACACACAAAGGACCATTATCAGACCTTATTGAATAAAAGTGGGTAGCAGTTATAAATTAGTCCTATTTTGGCATAGTCTTGTTAGATTATATTGATAGGATTGTGTTCAAGTCTTGAAGAATAGCCTGAAAGCTTGCTTTGGTCTAACATAACAATAAATCAGGAAGTACTATAGAACAATTCCAAAATTGGTATTATGCCATAAATAGTGTTTTGCACTACTACTACTACTACTAAAGAAAAAAAAACATTTTTTCTGTATTAATGTTCCACATCGACAAATTATTCGAAATGAAGATTACATGAAACAATGTCGTTCTGACTCAATTGCAGCCGCGAAGGAACAAATGATACGTAAAAACGTATAAGTTCTAGAAATGGTCCTTCGAGCCATTAAACACTATCATGGCCCTTTACTGACGAACTTATTGTAACTCACTTTAATGTTTTTGTAAGATCAGATGATCTGATCTGATGATTTGGATCGAGTGTCGAATGATGACTATTTTCGCACAGGAGATAACAAACTTAATTTAAAATGGAACAAACAATATTTTTGGCGATTCTCCAAGAATATCACGAAAATGTTCAAGACTTTATAATACATACATTTGTCTAATTGCCTTATACAGATTCTTTTTAGCATATACTAGTACTCACCTTATGATAGGTGTCTTTCTGCCAGTTTTTGATTTGCGCCATGACATCATTGACGAGTCGGTCGCGGACGCTCAGGTGTAAATCTGAGAGACGCTCCGCCTCTACCATGCCGCCTTTCCACGCAGCTTCCATTGTGCCGTATTCGGGGCCTGAGTGACAAAAAACAAAAAAGTTAGTCGCTGGGAAACCATGAATATGTTTACCAAAGTCTTAAATAAAAACTTAGAAATTAATACGAAATGAAAAACATCCATAAAAATATTATTTCAAGGTTTTCAATCAAGGTGATTATAGAAAATGCGCGAGCAATGGTTTTGGGTATTAAAAAAGGATCAAATTAAAATTACGTACAATTGACGGGGATGCCTGGAGAGATTACGGATGTCAGAAGCGCGGGACATTTCGTTGTTGCACACACAAAGCTACAGACTCATGTTCTACCGAAAATATGAGTAGCAAATTGCAATATTTTGGAGGCTCAAAAACGAAATCGATCTCGCGTATACAGTTAATTCATTAATTGAAAATACTCAATAGTTTCTTTTCGTTTTTATCAGGATTATGAATCCGGTAGTGTTATTTAACTTACGTTAAATCTTAAACATACTATATATAATAATTAAAATATATATATAAACATAACCTTTTCTACATTACATTGTGGTACTTAGAGCCTTAATTCTGAGATTAGAAACATCAGAATCATCAGGTAAGACTGAATGATCGCAATGTCCACTCTGACATAACCATGTTACGTGGTCACAAACCACAAGAGCATTGACCAATACCTGTTTGACATCCATTAACAAAACGACTGACATCTTGTTTACTTTTTTTTGTGTGAATTGGGAAATGCTATCGACCGTTACGTTGTCTTTAGGCCGTTTACACTGCTCGGGTTCTACGTTTTTATCGTATGGATTTATCTGTCTAGCTGATTTCATTGTTAACATATATTGTTCGTAGTCGGTTTGTGAATGGACAGATTGAGAATAATTCGTGTCAGTATGTTATATAAACATTGGTGTTATGGTCTTTAAGTGCGTAAACGCGGCGCGGGTTTCCAAACAAGCTATCAAGTTCAAAATCAATAAAACTACAACCCCTTAGCTTAATTTAAATCATTTAGAAAAGAAAAAATCTTAGGTACCTACGCAACTTTTTGATGACCTTTAATAATCTCCATACATTTGCATCGTTTCTAAAGCGATAACAATTATCGATACTAAACTTGACTAGGATGTCTGAACCAATTTTAAAGAAACTTATTTCACACACGTCAGCGAACATTGTCTAAAAACTTAATTAAGTTTATTATTCTAAATATGTAATTTCTAACAAGACAAAATGGCCACCTAAATATTTCCATGCAACCACATAACAGATAACATCATTACTCAACCGTATCTTACTGAGAAGTAACTCGGCACCAATTTGGTCAATCTCATAATAACTTTCATTGCACTTGCTGTAAACGGCAGGCAGTAATGTGCGAGAAAACCGGTCGGCAGTTGCGGTCGATAAGGTGCTATTCAGACTTATAAACGAGTGTTCATGTAATGGATACTAATGGGGACACCAGACTATGAAGCCTGATATAGTGTGAAAGCGAAGTACTGTGAACAGTGCCTGAGGTTTTCTTGACCCTTTACGAAGGTTAAGTAAGTTCTAAGGGATTGGAGATGCGCTTTTGAGCGCAATCAATCATGTCAAGTAAAAGGAAAACTTTAAATTAGTCATTCAATTCTTGTCTTAATCTCAGATAGCTACTAAGAAAACCTAAGTACCATTAAAAGATCAAGATTAATTTATAGAAACTTGTGTGTATAAATAAATAGTACATTGTGTAACAAGCGGCGAGACAAAAGCGACACAATCAGGTACGCATAACAAACCTGCCTCATCAGTCTAGAGGCTGCGCCATTTTCGCAAGTGCATTTCATAATAACAAGACTTAATAGTGACGTAAGGGTGCACCAACCCGATGACCGATTCGCATACCATTCTAAATTCAAAACGACCAATCGCGACACTTTCGATTTTTAAATCGCCCAATGAGATATGTTAAACACGCTTTCGGCGACGCGTACCGAAGGACCATTTAGGTTTCGTGACTCGAATACAAGTTGTCTCGAATCAGTTTCGATCCTTGCTCGATATGCTCAATTAACTTTCCTTTTCATTACCAATATTTTTATTCTCGACACATTTTGTTGCTTAACGTTGAGAGTGTATTTTCATGGAATGAAGCTATTCTTTTTGCGAATATTGATTGGTTGTAAGGAATGAATATTGTATGAGACAATAATGGCAACAATTGTGGTTTTTTGAGTAATGTAATTCGCTATTGTGTGGTGATTAAAATTGACGGCCGGTTCAGAATAACATTCGATTATTGCAATCTATTAACAAATGTTGCAATGATAAAATGTTAATATCTCAAACAGAAGTCTTAAGTAACTCAAAAATAACACAATTATATTAATTCATCTATCTTGATGTAGGTAGATAAACGAGGAGACTTCTACATCAGTATTTATTAATTGAATAATTTTTCGCCGACACCTAATTACGATAATACGCGAGCATTTATATCAAAAATGCAATCAAAAGATACAATTACTAATCTTATCATTTGTAATCCAGTGAACTCATTCATTGAAACGCGATAATCGATTCATTATCATATTTTCACTTGAATTATACAATTGTGTAAGCGCTGATAGTCATTTAATAACAATATCTTTGGCGAATTGGGTACAAGGCAATCTATTCTAACATTAAATTCGTTTGTTTGTACTAGACTCTAAAAATTCTAGATCATTTTATATTAATTATATAGAAGTAAGACTTACAAGAACAAAACAATACAGGTTCAGGACACATACGAAACAAAGTAAAGCAAATTGAAAGATATTCTATTGTGGTCCTTTTTAGTTAAAAGAAAATCTGGTACTTTTCTTTCTTTCTTTTTGTACTCCAAGATAGAAAATGCTGCGCCTAATTTTAATAAAAATAAAATGTTAGTTACTATGCTTAAAAGAATTAAGAGATATGATTTACATTTTAAAGTCATAGACATAGTTCAGCACAAGACTGAAAATTACAAGCAGTCTCGAATGTTCGTGTAAACAGTCACCAATAGTAAATACAATATGGATCTGGTAATGACATTATTTGTATACAAATGATGAAGCTACAAATCAATACAATGTCTACGTAAGACATAGTATTTATTGAAAGTGGTTATGTATGTTGAATGGCTGTCGTGTTTTATGCTAATTTACGACTTGTTTCTCTGTTGCAATCTCTTAGTATGCTGTTACCATCCTCATTCCGATACAACTCTTACCTTTAGACAAATTGTTTTAGATTACTGGTTTTAAGTATATTAAAATTACATGCATCCTATAAATTTAATGAAATATATCACCTATTCGCTAGGTTAGGAAGAGCTTAGAAAAAGAAGGTTTTTATTATTAATCTCTACGGTCGCTTGTCTATTAAAAATTTAAAACGCTCCATTATTACATGAAAGACAGACCAAAATATTTGAAAATGTTTTTAACAGGAAAACTTTCCACTAGGTATGTAGCGTATGCGTAATGTAGCGTAATTAAAATTGGGGAGAAGCAAGGTATTTTTTCAGGTGGTTTCCAATGTAGAAATAGGAACGAGTCCTTGGGGATTAATCAGAAACCGCTTTCTTCGCAGCAAGGCGGATGAATATTTAATTTTCAATTTGACGCCTCGAAGTGACGCCTAAGGTAAGCAACGGAGGACCAAGAAGGTCACGAGGTCAAAATTACATAAAATTTTCAACTATAATGATTATAGAGAATATAAAAATCAAGTATATAATTTAAAAACGTAGATAATGTGTTTGTTACACCACTTCTTCATTGGTTTTGAAATATTTTTGATCATGATTAACACAAGCCTATAACAAGTTTTGTAATATCTGCGAATGCAATCAAGGAATATCAATAAAATTTCGCACTAACAAAAAAACAGTCCAATTACTAACATAATGTCTGCTTGACCTCATATCTGAGATCATTAACGTGTCTTTTTTTTTTGTGAGGGGAAAATCATCAAATGACTTCTCCCGCCCAGGGCCGGGCAGGAGGGAGTGTCAGACTCTTACTGACTAAAAACCCCCCTGTTCCTTCTCCTGCTCTGTGCCGAGGTCGCGGTACCTCATTGCGCTTACCCCGCAACCCCGGAACATGAGAGCCCATGATAGATGCCAGTAGGTGAGTAAGAAACGGTCGCCAGAGCAGCTAACGGCTAGGAAAGAATTTCCATTTCCGTCCAACGCTGGACAAAGACCTGTCTAATACTCATCGGCACGTCACTTATTTCAATTTTCAGTTCTTCATTGATAACATAATAAAGTATTTTTTTTATGTAATAGGTCGGCAAACGAGCAGACGGATAACCTGATGGTAAGCAATCAGCGCCGCCCATGGACACTCGCAACGTAGGAGTGCGTTGCCGACATTTAGTGATTAGGGTTTTGGAGATTTAGGAATTGCGGAGGGGTTGGGGGAGGAGAAGGATTGGGCTTCCGATAACCTTACTCACACGGCGAAACACAACGCTGTGGTTGTTTCACACCGGTTTTCAGTCAGGCCGTGGTATCACTCCGGTCGAGACGACCCATTCGTGCCGAAGCATGGCTCTCCCACACTTTAAATTCTGACCACAACCAAAAAATTACAAGAGCGTAGGGACATTTCAAGCCACCCCGTCTCTTAAAGAAGAATATAAGAAATTTATTTGTTCTCTCGTGAGAACTGAACACAAGTCATCACAGTAGCTACCACAGCAACTAGCAAATAAATCTCCCCTCATCGAACAATTAGCATTAACGACCCGTTTAATGCACTAACCGGTTCTTTAGAAAGTACTAACATAATACACGAACAGCTGGACGCAGCTTCAAAAGATACGACGTACCATTATACCCATGTCGTAAGACATCAAAATCTTTTCATCATCAATGAAGATACACTTGAATAAGTTTCCTGTTAATTTTTAAAAGCGCTAAGTGTTAAGGGATCCGTTGATGATTTAGGAGCATTGGCCGGCAATGCATTTGTGACTTTAGTGGTTGCTAGCGTCCTTGGGCTGCGCTGATCGCTCAAAATTAGGTGATCTAAAAAAGATTTTTTAAAATTGGTACTTGTGTAACAATGCAAATTGTCGAGTACATTTTGAAGTTATAGTAAGGTTAACTATTGTAACGAAACCTGATAATAAAACAAACATGTCTAACAGGGCCCAAATACAATTAGAGACATAAAATACATATAGATTAGCTGTGAACTCCACAACTTCGGTAAATATGATAAAGAAAACAAGCCTACCTAAAAAAAAATCACAATGCACAAAATTAACTAACGCAATAAAGATATCCAGATTAATTCTATAGCAGCAAAAATTCTACGGAATTCATCGTTAATCAGGTATTCAAGAGCTCATTTGTTCCGGCGATATTAAATTCTATTCATGCCACAGCATTTAAGATATGCTGAGCATCAATGGGATCTAACCGATGGATATTATTCTCATGGAGAGAGATTCGATTCCCACGCTATCTTTATATATCCGATGTCATTGCTATACTTAATTGTTTGTGCCAATTGGATTTATGTATGATGCTGAATGTGGAACGACTGATTGACGGGGTTAAGTTATTGTTTAGTTCAATGAACTTCATATAATCAGTTTGAAAGTGCCTTCTGTTAAGCAAAGGCCTCTTTGCACTCATTGAAGGTTTGAGCTTTAATAACCACGCTAGCTCAAGGCGGATTGAAGATTTCAAACTTATAATAAAAAATGTATAAGTCCGGGTATATACACGATGTTTTCCTTCACCGCATGGCAGTGATGTTTAAATAAACATTTTCCAGGGACGAAACCCGCCTCATGCATGAGAAGTGGGTGCCTTAGCAGCCAGGCCACCATGTTCTACAGTAACCATAAAAAAAAAACAAGTCATTATTTTGTCATGTTTTTAAACAATTCTCGAAACAAAATTTTTTAATCCAAATCGGTAATCATAGATTAGCATCGAACTTCGTCCGACCCAGAAATCAGCATAACTACTTATACTTGCGAATCAATCAACGATGCGATCATTGAACTGCATAAAAAGCGTATAAACATTGCAACACTCAATTTAATTTAACTAATAGTTACGTATGATCACGAACCGTACTAATTAAATGTCATCAGTATTCTTACCGAAGTATTTTCATTAAGAACGAAGAAGCCAACATATTCCTGTAACTAATTAACTTTCAACACGTGCTGAGCTATTTTGAGATGTAATTAGAGATTTCTCTAAATATTGATTTGTAATTATCGGCTATAAATATCGCTTTGGTATGGGCGATGTTTATAAAAATAGATCGTGATTAGTGGTGGGTGATTTATTTGACAGCACGCTTGAGTTTAGTAGCTGAAACGAGAAAATACTCCCACTATAATAACTCAATTGATTTTGTCAAATGCAATAGACAAATCGATTACACGATGCATGAATATGCGTGCAGGTTATTTTTTCAAATATTATGGTTTTTTTTATAAATTATAATAAATGGCATTTCGGTTTTACTTTTCATTCTGAATGTCTTGCATTAACTACTGGACAATTGTAGATGACTATCATACTTAGAAACAAGCTGAGAGACTACGGCTGGCGAAGAAAACAGATGAAATAACGTTTTAAAGTTAATGATCATAATAAATACTTGAACAACACAAAAAGTACATTAGCTTTAAATAATAAGGGTATTCAATGGGCATCATTGTCGCTGAATGATAAGAGCCCACAGTACACAATCAATCTTTGATACTTCGAGTGAATGGGTCCGGATCGAACCCATTGTGTTTCTGTTCGGTCACCGAAATAACAGCGGTTATCATCAATAGCGGCTTTTGTTGGAAAATGAAAATATCATGTCCTTTCACAATATTGGTGATCAATGGATTACACTGTATTGTTTACAAGTTTTTATGAACAAGTTACAAACTACAAAATTAATTGAAAAATGTATTGTGTACAGAAAAGTAAGTAAAAGTAACAAGTTGAACAATCTTACCTTTCTCAATGAGGTCGTTCCATTTCTTCGCCCATCCTCTCAAACTTTTGGCGTATGTTTTCTCAATATCTGCTCTCTCTTGCACGAGGGCCTGTAGTTCACCACAGAGCCGGTGTCCATCGTCAATTCGTCGTGTAGTCCGTTTATAATTACCAGGCTCCCAGAATGAGTCGGAGGCGACCGTGAGGAGCGCCTGCTCGTCGCTGTGGTGAGACATGGCGGTGCGACACTCACACACCGCCCCTCTGTAACAAAGAAAAGAGAATTTAGAACATTTCCTGCAAATTCATGTCAGCCTGGTACTTGCTACAATTATTTCCACATAATGCGTAACATGAACCTTGTACAGATTAATAAACAAGTGTATCCTGATCCTCATGGGGAGAGGGGATCTATAAATACATAATGCTAATAAAAGTCAAGGTAAACATAAACAAAGCTGTATCTCTGACAAGGTAAAAAATGAACAAACTAAAATGTACAGGAAACCTGGATAAAGTTGGGGATCTAAAGGAACACGAAATTTTATAATCTCATTGGGAGGATGTAAATTGAAAATTCGTCCGAATTACGAGCCCCCCGAAGTTTTCTGGACGAATCCATCACTGTCAATTGCTAAAAAACATTATTTAGTTTGAAGAAATATTAGAAAAAGCGATGATACCGACGAGGGTTACCCTAAAGGATTACGTAGACATAAATATTTAGAAACATGCTTAAATGGGACCAAGTTTTCTCTAAAGTATGTTTGTAAACGACTGAATAAGCAATCAAACCATTTAAGGTGTAATTTTCCGTTAATTAAGTATATTAATTTAATCTGTCAATTAACTAATTGCAGTTTAATTGCCGGAACGGGTTGCGTTAGAACTCGTTCTAGTAGGCATTATACAGAATATGGGTACGACTAATATATTAAAAACAACTAATTATTATCCTATTACCGAAACAAGGACAATTATGTTTGACATCTTTTTACGTTATACCATGTATCGCACAATGTATTATACCTAAGCGACAACCGCAATATTATTAAAATCATTCCTTAAAGAAGTTAAAGACTTGTATTCTGAAAATGAAAATGATCATTTATCTGTCGTAACATGCGTTTACACACAGATTTAAGCATGCAAGATCTTAACAAAAATGTATTTAAAATTCGTACATGTTTTACCCATCTAGGCGTACTAATCAGAATTAATTCATCAACCCCAAGCGAGCGCCGGAGTGCGTGTATTGTTCTTCTATTGTGTCTCAAATTGCCACGATTGGTTTTAAAGTTAAAAATGTTCACCCACTGATCACTCCATGCTTACTTTTTACCCGACTGCCAAAGAAGGAGGGTAATGTTTTTCGAGTGTATGTAAGTATGTATGTATGTCTTTTCCTTTGTGACCTCCTGTAGCCTAAACGGCTTGATGGATTTTGATGTATGAGGTATCGTTAGATTTGTCTTGATTACGGGAGTGTCATAGGATACATTTTATCCTAAAAGTCCCACGGGATAAAGACATAATAATATTTTTTCTAAATTTCCCTTTAAAAAAATATGTATGCGGTATCATTAGATTCATTTCAATCACGGGAGTAATTAATATAGGATACGTTTTTTCTCAAAATTCCCACGGGAACATGTTAATTCTGCGTCAACGCAAAGCAACTCATGCGTTAGCAAGCAAAAATATAGGGCGTGGCCTGGCATGCGGCGCGCGGCGCGGTGCGGAGGGGGATATGCTCGAGTATACAGCCCGAATGCGGGCACACGCATAAGGGCACACGTCGTTGACGGTCGTCTCTAAATAGCGATTTTTTAAAAAGTTATAAATAAAAAAATTATTATTAAAAAAACAAAATACCCGACTGCACACTAAAAAAAGAGTAAAACAAGCCCCACAATACAAATTTACTGAATATAATTTATAAATGTTGATGGAAAGCATCGCAGGCGGGGACCACCTTGACCGCCACCAACGAAAATTCTGCTAAATGGTGCACAACAGAAATGACTATAAATAAGCCTCTGTTGGTCCCCGCCTGCGATGCTTTCCATCAACATTTATAAATTATATTCAGTAAATTTGTATTGTGGGGCTTGTTTTACTCTTTTTTTAGTGTGCAGTCGGGTATTTTGTTTTTTTAATAATAATTTTTTTATTCGCTCTAATAAACAACCTTTTTCAAAGCACCAAAGCCGTGTTAACATCACAAACAAGATGTCAGCACATGAAACAATTTGACTAAAAAGAAACAAAAACGTCGTGACTACTCCATTATGCGCGCAGTTACGTAAGATCGTCAACCGTTTGAAAATGACAATGACCTTGACCTCCCTTGGCTTCCTATACTTGTTACCGTGAAATTTAACATGGCTGAGTCGGATAGGGTTTTGGATAAAGAAGCTGGGCTTTCGTCTTGATAAAAGTTTAAGGGAAAGACGGTAATTTGGAAGGATGATTCTCAAAACTATTTTTCTTTGCAACTGTGGTTGCAAGAAGCGATCGAGCGGTTAGAAACAGAAGTTGTTTATTTTATTTTATTTTTATTTAATATGTCGGCAAACGAGCAGACGGATTACCTGATGGTAAGCAATCAGCGCCGCCCATGGACACTCGCAACGGAGGAGTTACGAGTGTGTTGCCGACCTTTTAGGGATTAGGGATTTGGAGATTTAGGGATTTAGGAGATATTGGGGGAGGGGAAGGATTGGGCCCCCGGTAACCTCACTCACACGGCGAAACACAACGGTGTGGTTATTTCACGCCGGTTTTCTGTGACGCCGTGATATCACTCCGGTCGAGCCGACCCATTCGTGCCGAAGCATGGCTCTCCCACACTTATTTCAAAATTCATTGAAAAACTGGTTTAAGTTTCAAATGCGAGATACGTTTCACCCAAATCAAATCAAATCAAATCAAATTCTTTATTTCAAATAGACCAAAAAAGGCACTTTTGAACGTCAAGCAAAAAATATATCATAAGGTTTAACTTTATGTGTCAGTCTGTCCGTCTGTCCTCTAGTGAAGCTATTTGCTCGTTCCAAAGTGTAGATTCCTATGGAGAAGAACGAGCAAGAAACTCCATGGTTACTCTTTTTCAATCACTTTTTACAATACATTGTTACATAATTTAGATAGCTCCATTATGTGAGAACAGTGTAACACTAGTGTTTAACCAAAGTATCCGAAAAAGAAATAACCCTCAGGGACAGCAACTTTAGACAGTCTCGAGTTGACCAGTCCCAATAGGCGGCGTCCGTTCACGAACATGACACGTACACCAGCACCGCCCAACTCAACCATATTATAGGGAACCGAGCGGTCCAGTGCCCGTGCCACCGCCAATGAGACTCCTGAGTGAGCATGACAACTCCCAACTGACACAAGTACCAATATACTATAAGTCTATAAGTCTAACTCAATTATAATAAGTTACAGGGCTCTCACATTTACAAAAATCCAGTTTATCAACAATCAACAACATGGTGAATAATTTAATAATTGAGATCAAAATTCCTCTTAACCTTAACAATTTTTATCCTGTGCAGTCAAACCAGCCACCCTCCAAGCATTTTTATCTTCTATATAATCATTTAGTTTGTAGTATGCTTTCCTATATAATACTTTCTTTATACATAATTTAAATTTACTTTCATTAAGATTTTGTATTTCAGTTGGGATTTTATTATAACATTTAACACATAATCCCATGAACGACTTATGCACTTTTGCTAATCTAAATAAAGGCTGACTTAATCTATTTCTATGTCTAGTAAGATAGTCATGCTTGTCAGATACTTTTACAAATAGCTGTAGGTTTTTCCTAACATACATAATGTTTTCATAAATATATTGACATGGTACGGTCATAATGTTGATCTCCTTAAACTTTTCTCTGAGAGATTCGCGACGACCTAAGTTATAGATAGCTCTGACTGCACGCTTTTGTAAGATAAAGATAGACGCAACGTCGGATGCCTGTCCCCACAACAGAATTCCATACGACATGATGCTGTGAAAGTAGCTAAAGTACACTAGTCGTGCCGTGCCTACGTCGGTTAGCTGACGGATCTTCCAGACAGCATAAGCTGCCGAGCTCAACCGCCCTGCTAGAGATCTAATGTGGGGCCCCCATTGCAGCTTGTCGTCTACAGTAATCCCCAAGAATGTGGTCTCCTTTACAAATTCCAGTTTCTGACCATTTAATAATATATCATCGCATACGTTACTTTTAACATTTGGCAAAATAAATCTAATGCATTTCGTCTTTTTATCATTAAGTACTAAGTTGTTTTTTGTGAACCAATTATGAACTTTCGTTAAGGCATTATTCACTTCGTCATAGTTATTTGATCGTCTATTTAATTTAAAAATCAAGGATGTGTCATCAGCGAATAATACCATATGCGGTTCACTTTGGAATAAATGGGGCAGGTCATTGACATAAACCAAAAATAGGAATGGACCCAATATTGAGCCCTGCGGTACGCCCATAGATACGCTAGCACCCTGGGAGTTTACTCTGTTTACTTGTACTGTAAGAAGTCTTCCCGTTCCACTTTTTATTTATACAAAATATATCTCCATAGTAGCTTCCGCCCGCGGCTTCGCTCTGCGTGTTATGTTGATGAAAAGTAATATCCTATTCCGGGGTGTATCATATGCCTGCACCAAATTTCATCCAGATCCGTCCAGACGTTATGCCGTAATTGAGTAACAAACATCCAAACACCGTAACTTTCGCATTTATAATATTAGTAAGATAAAAACAAAATGGTCCAAACGACTTAATCTAATTACTACAATTATCATCAGTAGCTAGAGTTTTATTAAGATTGATAACACAGAAGTCATTTTGATCAAGCTATCAAATATATTATTGGGTAATCATTAAGACCCACATACCCCTTTTAAATATCACTCTGTATAATCCTATACTTTGATTACGTAAGCTATATATATTTAAATATTGCCTCATCAACTAAGCATGTTCATTTAAAATTAAAATTTTATCTTAAGCATATGTGTTACGGTATTTATAGTATGTAAACGAATATACAGCGGTTGTAAAATATTTTGTGCTGATTTAGAATATTTAACTATGTGGTTGTATTAAGATTCAAGGCTTGGTACGGTATACACTACCCATGACTTGATTTTTTTTAAGTCTTCCGAGAAAATTTGCCAACGTTTTGCTCATATTATTACACTTATACGTCGTGGTAGCCCGGAGGTTAACACATCCGCTT